AAAGGATAGGAGAGAAAATCGATAAAAACAATTCCAAGTCGCTCGAAAGCCGAGAAATAGTCATTTCCGTTAGAACAAGTAGGTATGTGCATATGCATACGTTACATGAATAATTATCGACAGAATATTTAACAATTGTCCATTTGTCGAAAATTATAAGCACCCAATGATCATGTACATATTCAATTTTTTCATTAACTTTAGAAGTGTATACTGGATGGAAACGATCGAGTAATAACATCTTATTACGCTTGTCGATTTTATTCGAACAGCGTTCAAAAGAAAAAAAGAACAAAAAGAAAAGATATTTTTCTTATTAAAAGTTTGGACAATTTTTCTCCGTTTTCGCTTTAATCGTTCATATAAGCGTACATATCGCGTACACAAGTGTATCGGTGCGCCATTATTTACTTTTTAATATCGCGTTTTCCCTTAACATATCGCTGTAACGGCACAAAAATCATACCAGTCGCAAAAATAAATATTTTATTGCGTTACTGAAACGCGTCTACGAAAACAAAAATCAAACTACCGCTACTACTACTGCTACTAACGCACACACACGTACACGCACACGCACACAGAGAATAGCTTCAAACGAATTGTATTAGTTGCACAAAATGCTCTGGAATATTGCGGCACGATACGGTACGCCGCGCGCGCAAACATTATATATAAATGTATACGTGTATAGACATATTTTACAAATGGAAATATGGAAGATGAAATAAATTGCAAAACAGCTAAATAATATTCTAATTGTACTGCTCATGTTTCAAGTATATTCAGCGTTGTTCCACATTTTACGATAAAAACGAATTGCACTTTGGCGCGGAAAATAAAACAAAGGGCAAATATAAGTTTAGGAAGAAATCGTGGTGACGTTAGAATTTGTATCCGAATTACAACCATTGTCTATTCCTTGGGGTAAATACTTGAAATACTGCAAGTAAATCTCACAGAGTTCTTCTTTTGTAAATACCGCACTGTCGTGCAAATATGAAGTACGCTGTTTTAAAAACTCGAATACCGAATAAAACAACATCGGATCCTCGGTTGCTTTCGCCGCTTCCAAAAATTTTCTGCCGGATACTTGGTTCACCATCCCGACCGATCGAACATAACTAAAACGATCAAAAGAGGAAGAATACATTGGCAAGAGTCAACGAAATACATAAATCGATTACCAGATAATATACATTATGCACTATTCAGCGTCTATATTATTGCGCATATAACAACAATGGTTCTTTACCTCAAGGCTGATAAAATATGCCCCTTCGACAAAAGAACTTCGATTATCTCTTCATGAGCGTTTCCCAATCGTTTCAGCATATCCAACGCAAGCTGAAGAGCAGCTGGATACAGATTTTCTAAAGAGAGTAGCAGACATGCCAGAGGTTTTGAATCGGCAACTACATGATATTGCAGCAATTGATGAAGTTGGTAGTATGCTTTACGTTGAACCAACGTTGTAATAACGAATTCTTGTAAATAATGTTGCACAGATATTCCATGTTCTACCAACGATCTGAAACGAATAGAATGCTACCAGATAAAATCAGATTTAACTTGAAAATTAAGTCTTTAAAACCCTTTCGTTACTAAAGGTGACTATAATATTTATCCACCACTGACAGCTAACGCAGTTATAAAACTATTATAAAACAATTTTCTTAATTTCATTATTCTGATATGTATTTCTTTATAATTCGTTATAATACTAATTTCAAATCACTTGAATAAAGGTCAATAATTTCCATAATTTCCTACGATAAAACAGCAGACGTTACGCTCTGTTTGCGGCAAAGTGGTGCAGTTGACTTGCGGCTCAACTGTCCCGTACAGCGACAGCATACTGCCTGTCGGCCAACACCACCGTAACGAAAGGGTTCAAGGCAAATATATACCTAATATATTCGAGAAGAACCCATACGATCATTTTCGGTTCGATCGTATTCTCAGGAAACTTCGGCAATATATAGGTATACATGTCACTTTGACCGATCAACAATTTATGCTTGTAATTTTCTACTGTGGTAGTGGTACTGCTACTGCTGCTACTGCTGCTGCTGCTTACGTTTTTTACATTGTTTTGCACCGAGGTGCCTATCTGTAAAAATCAGCGCATCGATTAACCTAACCGAAAAACAACGAAAAAGTATAATCATCATACACGCTCGTCATACCTGATTTTGGATTTCGCTTTCCAGGTACTTTCTATACACTGAATTCAACTTGTCGAATATAACTGGCATATCTACTAGACTATAAGGTAGGTACATCATAAAATCTTGCAACACTCGTATCAAAATATGCTTCGCGTTTGCCCGCTGCATTAAAAATTCAACCAGTAGCACTTTATCCGTGAACAGTTTCACCAAAGTTTCCAGCTTTAATTCGATATACCTGTATATACGTAATATGATTCGTTGGTTCGGGAAATCGTTAAATGTATCGACTGATGGCGTTCTACGATCGACTTTAAGATGACCGGAACGGGGAG